TTAAAGACTGAAGCAGCAGTGGTGTGGTGTCTCTCTGGGTTCTGGTTTAAATCCTGACAGCTGAGTCCAGTCTGTAGTCCGTCAGTAGGTTTGTGATTCAGGCGTGATGAGATAAAAGTCAGTAAAATGGTGTCTGTGTCTTTCAACGTTAACATCAAACGTGTTCCTGAGAGGTCTGCAGGCCTTCAGCTGATCCAAAGTCAGCGAGCAGGTTGAGCTCCAGACTTTCTCAAGGACGACTCATGTGACGCACAGCTGCCGTCCCGTCCTCAGCCACACTGTCAGCATGTTAATGGCACATCTGAGCCATAATGCAGAATAAAGAGCTGTTCCTTCCACCGGTGCAGCTGCTGACCCAGTCTCAGAGGGCGCTCTCCAACATCCACACTCACCTCTCCAGCCTGGACAGAAACGCTCTGCCTCAGTTCCCCAAAGCCGAGGTACAGTAACTCACCGTCTGTGCACAAAGACATGCGGCTGCTGGACGCTTTTTCTCACTCTGGGCGGTTTTGTGTCGCTGCAGAAATCACTCAGGGAGGTTCAACAGATACTCAACTCCACAGAGGGCAACTTTCACCAGCTGGTGGCGCTGCTGAACTGCAGGGGGCTGAACAAGGTGAAACCAAGGAGCCGAAACCAACTGCTTATCAAGCCAGCGCTGCTTTAGCTCCATGTATTTACGTTGCTTTTCCTCTGCGATGTCCCAGGACTACATCGACTCTCTGAAGGGCCTGTGCTACGACGGCATGGAGGGGCTGCTCTACCTCTCCCTCTACTCCTTCCTCTCGGCTCTGGCCTTCACTGCCATCCTCTGCTCTCTGCCTGGAGCCTGGAGGAGCTTCCCCAGGTGAGAAAACTCTGCTTCTGCTCAGTCATTTATAGAACCAGTGTCAGGAGGAAGCTGTTGTTTACTGTTCTCTTTGCATCTTAAACTCTGGTAAAAGGAGACAGAAATGTGGACTGAGCTGGGCTGGAGTTAATGATGTGTCTGTTAACGCCTCTGTTTCACCCGATTCTCCACAAGCACACCGAGCTTTAAAAACGCTGCAGTTTATTGATGCCAGAAAGCGATACTTGGCCTGCAATGAACAAAAAGTACTGGACTGATTTCCAGGAGAACCTCCAAACCTCCAGAGAAGAGACTGAGGATTAATTTTATTTCTTTTACTTGTTTCCTGGAGTTCAGTCGCACAGGTTTGGTGGACGAGACGAAACAGATCAGATCAGACT